CAGAGTCGTTTTGATTTGCATTTCTCTAATCAAATCAATGATTTGGAACATTTTTTCATAGATTATAGATAGCTTTAGTTTCTTCCTCTGAAAACTGCCTGTTCATACCCTTTGACCATTTATCATTTGGGGGAATGACTTGTATTCTTACAAATTTGACTCAGTTCTCTATATATTTTAGAAATGAGGCCTTTATCAGAGACACTGGTTGTAAAAATTCTTTCCCAGTTTTCTGCTTCCCTCCTAATCTTGGATGCATTGGTTTTGTTTGTGTAAAAACTTTTCAATTTAGTATAATCAAAATTATCTACTTTGCATTTCATAATGTTCTCTACCTCTTGTTTGGTCATAAATTCTTCCCTTCTCCATAGATCTGAAAAGTAAACTATTCCTTGCTCTCCTAGGGTTGCTTATAGTCTCAGTTTTTATATCTAAACTCTGTACCCATTTTGACTTTATCTTGGTATAAGGTGTAAGATGCTGATCTATGCCTAGTTTCTGGCATACATTTTTCCAGTTTTCCCAGCAGTTTTTGCTAAATAGTGATTTCTTATTTCAGAAGCTGGTTGTCTTTGGATTTATCAAATAGTAGATTAGTATAGTCGTTGACTGCTGTGTCTTGCATACCTAACCTATTCTACTGATCCATCACTCTGTTTCTTAGCCAGTACCAAGTAGTTTTGATAATTGTTGCTTTATAATACAATTTAAGATCTGGCACAGCTAGGCCACCTTCCTTTGCATTTCTTTTCATTAGTTCCCTTGATATTCTGGACTTTTTGTTCTTCCAGATGTTCTGTCATTGTTTTTTCTAGCTCTATAAAATACTTTTTTGGTAGTTTGATTGGTATGACACTGAATAAGTAAATTAATTCAGATAGAATTGTCATTTTCATTATATTAGCTCAGCATCCCCATGAGCAACTGGTATTTTTCCAGTTACTGACATCTGACTTTATTTGTGTGAAAAGTGTTTTGTGATTGTGTTCATAGAGTTCCTGGTTTTGTTTTGGCAGGTAGATTTCTAAATATTTTATAATGTCTACAATAATTTTACATGGAATTTCTCTTTCTATCTCTTGCTGCTGGGCTTTTGTTAGTAATATGTAGAAATGCCAAGGATTTGTGTGGGTTTATTTTATATCCTGCAACTTTACTAAATGTGTTTATTATTTCAAGTAAGTTTTTCCTTGATTCCTAAGACTCTTTAAGTATACCATCATATCATCTGCAAAGAGTGATAGCTTTGTTTCTTCTTTGCCTATTCTAATTCCTTCAATTTCTTTTTCTTCTCTAATTGCTATAGCTAACATTTCTTGCATGAAATGAGCAGAACCAGGAGAACATTATACACAGTAACGGCCACACTGTGCGATGACTGACTTTGATAGACTTGGCTCTTCTCAGCAATACAAGGATCTAAGACAATTCCAAAAGCCTCATGATGGAAAATGCTATCCACATCCAGAGAAAGAACTATGGATTCTGAATGCAGATGGAAGGATACTATTTGTTCACCTTTTCCTTTTTTGTTTTGTTTTACTGTTTTATTCTTGTAGTTCCTCCCATTAGTTCTGTTGTTCTTTACATCATGACTAATGGGAAAATATGCTTAATATGAATGTATAAGTAGAGCCTATATCAGACTGCATGCTGCCCTGGGGGAGGAACAGAAAATTTAAAACTCAAAATCTTATGGAAGTGAATGTTGAAAGCTAAAAGAAATAAATTAATTATTTAAAAAAAAAAGATAACTGAGGTTTTCAGACTAGATAATTAGAAGGATGGTGAATGCTGTCAATAGAATTAGGGCAAGAGGATAGAAGGAAAGTTTTGGGAAGATAAGTTCAGTTTTGGACAATCTGAATTTGAGGTGCTGGCATGACACATCCAGATGAAGATGTCCAACAAGCAACTAACTATACATGTAAGACTGGAGCTCTGGGGAGATGCAAGTATCATCTTGGTCCAAGCAAATTAAGAAAATAATTTCCACAGCAATAACATTCCCAGCAGGAATTTTTCTCTTATCATTTGTATTTCATAAATTCACATTTAATTTATACCTGTATTTGTAACAACAAATCCAATGATGTGTCTTTATAATAATAATGATGATGATGATAATGATAACAATTCTGTTGTTGTTGAGTTGTTTCAGTCATGTCCAATTCTTCATGACCTTATTCGAGGTTTTCTTGGCAAAGACACTGGAGTGGTTTGCCATTTCCTTCTCTAGCTCATTTTATAGATGAGGAAACTGAGGCAAACAAAATTAAGTGACTTGTCCAGGGTCACATAGCTAGCAAATGTCTGAGACGAGATTTAAACTCATGAGGATGAGTCTTCTTGATTCCAAGTCCAGTCCAGTGCTTTATCCACTGTGCCACCTAGTTCCCCTCAATAATAGCAATATCTAGCATTTATATAGTGCTTTAAGGTTTATGAAATGTTGTACATATTATTTAATACTCATACCAAACCTATAAGGAGAGAACAGTCATTATACCCATTTTATAGCTGAGGAAACTGAAGGTGAGGTAGATTGTCCAGGATCACACAGCCATTAAGTGTATGAGGTAGCATTTGAACTCGAATCTTCCTGACTCCAGGTCCAGAGTTCTTACCCACTGTGCCACCTAGCTACCTAAGTGAAGAAGAATACCCATTTCTTTGATTTCTTTGATAATCAGAATATTTAGGATAGGCTAATTAGGTTTTTAAAGGATTCATAATTTGTCACTTGGGACATAGCTATTTCAGGTATCTTATCTATGCCAGATGAGAAATGTTTGCCTTAAATGCAAAGAACTAGTTTAAAATCAATCAAACTACTGCAGGGATTTTTAAAACTGTGATATACACTCCTTTCTTCAGTCAATCAATAATCATCAAACATTTATTAAGTGTCATACATACAAGGCAGTGTGTTAGGTATAAAAGTTACAAAGACAAAAAAATGAAATAGTATCTGTTCTCAAGGATCCAGCGGTGGAGATAATATATCATATGCATATGTAAATATAAATAAAACATATGAAAAGTAAATACAAGGTAATTTTTGGAGTGGCACTAGTAATTGGCAACTACTAATAAATACCTTTTAAATTATATTTTTAAATGTAAGAAATTCTCAAATACTTTAAAAAACTGTACAATTTTATCTATAGAATTCAACAATATAACATCATATCTCATTTTCATACAGAGAGCCCTATACAGAGAACACAAAAATATGTGGAGAGACATACAATATATAGAATTCAAATACATTCAAAATGTTTAAAAGACTGACAAACACACATGGATAAATAGTATAGTAGAAAGAGTACTGAAATTGAAGTCAGAATATAGTTCAAATTCAGGCTCTATTATTGTTTAATTCTTGTTAGTCAGTCAATAAGTATTTATTAAGCACCTACTATATTCCAGGAGCCAGGCTAACTGCTGGTGTTACAAAGAAAGGTAAAAAGACAATCCCAGCTCTCACAGAGCTCATAATAGAGGAGACAATATGCAAACAACTATGTACACACAAGCTACACACAGGTTAAATTGTAAACAACCAATAGATGGAAGGCAGTAGAAATAAGGGGGATCAGGAAATGCTTCCTATGGAAGGTAGGATTTTGGCTGGAACTTGAGGGAAGCCAAAGAAGACAGGAGGGAGAGATGAGGAGGGAAAGCATTCCAGGCATAAGGCACAGCCAGTGAAAACTCCTGAAGTCAGGAGATGGAAGTTCTTGTTTGAAGAGGCTAGTTAGTCCAGCGTCACCAGATGAAAGACTACTTGGGGGGCAGGGTAAGAAAACTGTAAAGGTGTGTATGTGGGCGTATAAATAGCTTTGAATGTCAATGGGATTTTATATTTTATCTTGGAGATAACAGAGAACCACTAGAGTTTACTGAGATGGGGGTGGAGGATAGAGAGGGTTGGGAGTGGAGAGGAATGACATGGTCCGACCTAAGCTTTAGGAAAATCACTTTGAAATCTCTGTTGAAGCAAACGAAACATCAGGGTACACAAACAGTCCAAGAGTGAGGCAATGTGGACCTAAACCAGGAAGGTAGCAGTATCAGAGGAGAAAAGGGTGTGTGTGAAAGAGATGTTACAAAGGTAAAATCAATAGGCCTTGGCAACAGATTGGTTAGGGGTGAGTAATGAGTAGAAGATGAGACCTACATTGTGAATCTGAGAGAATGGGAAGATGGTGGTTTCCTTAAATACTAGGGAATTTGAGAGACTTCAGTTTCAGACATGCTGAGTTTAAGATACCTTTGGCATATCCAATTTGAAATATTCAATAGGCAACTGGGGAATGTGAGACTGCAGGTGAGCAAAGAGGTTAGGGATAGATAAGTACTTCTGAGAATAAAAGAAATCATGGGAAGTGAGACTACCAAGAGTATTGAAGAAGAAGAGAACAGGATTCAGGAAAAGAGCCCTGATGGCTACCCCATGGTGAAGATCTAGCCAAGAAAGCTGAGAAGTAGTCAGATAGGTAAGAGGAGAACCAAGAGGTTAATCTCTCTGGGTCTCACTTACCTAACCTATAAAAAAAGGGATTCTACTAGATGATTCCTAAGATCCTTCCTAACCCACAATTATGAAATCTCTTAATACTATTACTATAAAACAAAATCATGAAATCCTTTAATACTATGACTACAAAACAATGATACAATCAAGTGTTATACAATATAAACTATGAATGCAGAAAAGGGAGAGATAAATTTGGGTTAGAGTAATTTGGAAAGTTTTCCGTCAAATTAGGAAAAGTATATATAACTTTCTGGTCTCAAAAATGTTGTCATTAACTTTTACTGGCTCCAGACAAAGTAATGCTACTGTAATTGTTTCTTTTCTTTTAAAATACATTTTACCAATGGAATTTGTCAATCTTTCTTAAATAGAATCTGTTGAAGAAGCCTTAGCCTTTATGGTGAAACAAATGAATTTATAAATTTTGTAAGTAATAGAAAACCAGTATTTAACATACCATTTGAAGGGCTGAAAGTTCTTCTGCTAACTGAGAAATCTGTAAATTATACTGTTTTCTTGTATTTGCCACCTGTATAAAGAAATTTTTAAAAAATTATTAAGCTCAAAATCAAAATTCAAATTCAATAAATATTTTAAGTGCTGGGGGAAGAGGTCAAGGAATATAAAAACTAAATAAGATACAGTCTATCTCTCTCTCTCTCTCTCTCTCTCTCTCTCACACACACACACACACACACACACACACACACACATATACTTCTGTGTCTAAATACAATCTGATTGGGGGAAAATATGCCCCAAAGAACCATGTTTCTTATATGGTAAGTGCATAATTAGGGACAGAGTGATATGAAAGACATGAGGAAAGATAGATTACATTACTGCTGTTATTTGACATTGTAGAAATGATAGCTACAGTAATAAAACAAACAAAAAAGTTGCGATAATGAGCCTAGGTAAAGAAGAGGCAAAATATTCTCTTTCTACAAATTGTATGATATTTACTTAGAGAATAACAAAGATTTAATTTAAAAAATTTCAAAACAACTAGTAACTTCAGGAAAGTTACTGATATTAACTTTACGGTCCAGTCAAACTGTCCTTTTAGCCATTCCTTACATACAAAACTCCACCTCCTCACTCTATGCCTTTACATAGACTGTCTTCCATGCCTGTAATGTAGTCCCTACTCAACTCAGCCATCTGAAATTTCCATTTAAGACTTGAAAGTTCAGCTCAAGCACATTCTTCTACATAGTTCTTCCCCCCTCCTCAAGCTGCTAATAATGCCTATCCCTGCTCTCCAAATTACCTTATATTTATTTGGCATCTATTTATGACTGCATGTACAATATCTTTGAGTGGTAATAACTTTCATCATTATCCCTATATCCACAGTGCTGAGCATACAGAATCTCACACATAGTAGACAGTATGTTCTTGTTGACTGATGAAAGTAATAGAATATGAAATAAATGCTCAAAATCATCAGCTTTCCCATATGTTACTAACAAAACTTAATAGGAGAAACTAGAAAAACAAAACATATCCAAAATAAAAATAAGATGAATAAGATATCAGGGAGCCAACCTAAGACACATTCAAGGTTAATACAGATGGAACTATAAAATATGATTTACAAAATCATGAAAGGTTTCAATAACTAGAGAAATATTTATTATTCATGGTTGAACAATATCAATTTAATAAAAATGACAAACTACCAAAATACATTTACAGACTTAGTGCCATGTCAATCAAACTACTAAAGGCTTACTTTACAGAATAAGACAAAATAATACCAAAATTTCACTGGGAGGAACAAAAAGTTGAGAATCCCAAGGGAAATAATGAAAAAAGAAAGTATGAAGGAGGCCTAGAATTGACATGACCATCAATATACCTAGAATGAAGAGAGAAGCAGTTAATTAGACAAAACCTTCGTAGCAAATATATTTGAAAAAGGATTGGTATCCATGGGAACTTATGTAAGTATACAAAAATAAGAGCCATCCACCAATAGACGTGTGGTCAAAGAATATAAAGTTTGCCAAAGAAGAAATGCAAGCTACCCACAGCCATATGAAAGAATGCTCTGAATTAGTACTAATAAGAGATATTCAAACTAAAATAACTCTAAGGTTTCATTTATGCCTATAACATTAGCAAAGTTGACAAAAGATGAAAAATATTGGAAGGCTGTGAGAATATTGGTACACTAATATACTGTTGGAGGACCCGTTAACTGGTGTAATCATTCTGGAAAACAATTTGAAATTATACTAAAAGAGTCACTAAACTGTACATACTTTTTGAATAAGTATTATCATTATTAATCATATACTCCAAGGATGCTGAAGACTGTAGGAAAGTTCCAAAACATTTATAATGTCATTTGTTGTAATGGCAAAAACTGGAAGGAAAGTGAATGCCCATAAACTGGAGTAGGGCTGAACACATTTTAGCATATAAATATAATGTGAGTATTATGGTCAAGGAAAAAATGGTAATTATGAAAAATTCCAAGCAACATAGGAAAACTTATATGAATTGATAAAAAGCAAAGCAGGGAGATTCAAGGGAACAACTAACAAGATGACCATGGTAATGTAAAGAAAAACAACAGTGAAAGACTAACTGATCAATGCAATAACCACTCGCATATCTCATATCTCTTACCTTAATATAGGTAAGGAATGATACAAATGTTGTCAGACATGGCCAGTGTGTTGATTTATTTTGCTTTCCAGTACTTACTTGTTAAAAATAAAGGCACTTATTTGGTAGAAGGCAGGGTTTTATTGGGGTTGGAAGAATAACTGAGGAGTGAAAGTGATAAAAAGAAAAAAAAATTAAAGCAAAGAGGAAGCATTTATAGTTGGGAACTCTGGTGGAGATTTTTTTTAGAAGGGAGGTAGCACCTGACCTGAAAGAAGTGAAGGATTTAAGCAAGAAGAGATGTCAGAGAAGCTCATTTCCAATATGAGGATGCAGGAGAAGGTGAGATGAAACAAGGGAATAGTCACTGCTTTGGCTGGAATAAAGAGATTGTGAAAAACAGTAAAAGACACCATGGCATGGTGGATAAAGAAATGTCCTTGGAGTCAGAAAGACTTGGGCTTAAGTGTAGCTTCTGACTCATACTAGCTATTTGACCCTTGGTAACTCCTTAGCCACTTAGTGCCAAAGGTAAGAGTTCCTATTGAGGATGTAATCACAAGGCTTGTTAACAACTAAAAAAGGCTGACCAGGTACTAGGGCATAAATAGGTTAGGTATGCAAAACACAGCAGTCAACGACTATACTAATCTACTATTTAATAAATCCAAAGACAACCAGCTTCTGAAATAAGAAATCACTATTTAACAAAAACTGCTGGAAAAATTGGAAAAATGCATGCCAGAAACTAGGCATAGACCAGCATCTTACACTTTATACCAAGATAAAGTCAAAATGGGTACAGAGTTTAGATATAAAAACTGAAATTATAAGCAACCCTAGGAGAGCAAGGAATAGTTTACTTTTTAGATCTATGGAGAAGGGAAGAATTTATGACCAAACAAGAGGTAGAGAACATTATGAAATGCAAAGTGGATAATTTTGATTATACTAAATTGAAAAGTTTTTGCACAAACAAAACCAATACATCCAAGATTAAGAGGGAAGCAGAAAACTGGGAAAGAATTTTTACAACCAGTGTCTCTGATAAAGGCCTCATTTCTAAAATATATAGAGAACTGAGTCAAATTTGTAAGAATACAAGTCATTCCCCAAATGATAAATGGTCAAAGGGTATGAACAGGCAGTTTTCAGAGAAAGAAACTAAAGCTATCTATAATCTATGAAAAAATGTTCCAAATCACTGATTTGATTAGAGAAATGCAAATCAAAACGACTCTGAGGTACCACATCACACCTATCAGATTGGCTAACATGACAAAACAGGAAAATGATAAATGTTAGAGAAGATGTGGGAAAAGTGGAACACTAATGCATTGTTGGTGGAGTTGTGAACTGATCCAACCATTCTGGAGAGCTATTTGTAACTATGCCCAAAGGGCTATAAAATTATGCATACTCTTTGACCCAGCAATACCACTTCTAGGTTTGTATCCCAAAGAGATTATAAAAATGGGACAAGGACTCACATGTACAAAAATATTTATAGCAGCTCTTTTTGTGGTGGCAAAGAATTGGAAATTGAGGGGATGCCTATCATTTGGGGAATGGCTGAAGAAGTTGTGGTATACGAATAATAATGGAATACTATTGTGCTATAAGAAATGATGAGCAGGTGAAATTCAAAAAAACCTGGAAAGACTTACATTGACTGATGCAGAGTAAAATGAGCAAAACCAGGAAAACATTGTACACAGTAACAGCCACATTGTGGGATGACTGACTTTGATAGACTTGGCTCTTCTTAGCAATGCAAGAGTCTAAGACAACAACAAAAGACTCACAATGGAAACTGCTATCCATATCCAGAGAAAGAACTATGGAGTTAAATGCAGATGGAGGCATTTAAAAAAAAAAAAGGAATAGTATAAGACAGGGTAGGGAAGCTAGGTGGCACAGTGGATAGTGTCAGGTCTGAAGTCAGGAAGATAAGTCTGCCTCAGTTTTGCCTCCAATTTTTTGCCATTATAACAAGTGACATTATAAATGTTTTAGAACATATGGAACCTCTCTTACAATCCTCAACATCCTTGGAGTATATGATTGGTAATGATACTGCTTGTTCAAAAGGTATGTACAATTTAGTGACTCAGTGTAATTCCAAATTGTTTTCTAGAATGACTACACCAATTAACAGGTCCTCCAACAGTACATTAGTGTACTGAGATCCTTACAGCCCTCCAACATTTTTCATCTTTGTTAACTCTGCTAATCTGATAAGCATAAATGAAACCTTAGAATTCTTTTAATTTGAATGTCTTGTTAATGATTCAGAACCTTCTTTCACATGGCTGTTGGTAGCTACTCTGCTAATCTGATAAGCATAAATGAAACCTTAGAATTCTTTTAATTTGAATGTCTTGTTGTTAATGATTCAGAACCTTCTTTCACATGGCTGTTGGTAGCTTGCATTTTGCCTCAGTTCCTCATCAATAAAATGAGCTGGAAAAGGAAATGGCAAACCACTCCAGTATCTCTGCCAAGAAAATCCAAATGGGGTCACAGAGTAAAACACAACTGAAACAACTGAACATCACTACCACCATGAGATAGGGTGGAATGGTAATATGGAGCTCAGTTGTGAAGTGTATCTATTCAAGTAACCAGGCGGAAAAGTTTAGGATAAGAAGTAGGTAGCAGAAATCGACCAGTATAGAATGAGCCTGTATAATTATAACTTTGTAGCTATAAAACAGAAATATAATTATTGCACTAGGAGTTCTTCAAAAAATACATATAAGATTTATTACACAGTCTGAAACATGATAAGCCTATGGAAAAACACTAAAGAGATATCACCTTTTTCTTGTTGACATTACAAAATATAAGTTCTTAACATTTAATTTACAATATTTAATAAAGGTCTCATAGTGGGAAATGTTATGCACA